TTTTTTTTTTTTTTTTTTTTTTTTTTTTTTTTTTTTTTTTTTTTTTTTTTCTTTTTTCTTTTTTTTTTGAGACGGAGTTTTGCTCTATTGCCCAGGCTAGAGTGCAGAGGCTTGATCTCAGCTCACTGCAACCTCTGCTGCCCAGTTCAAGTGTTTTTCCTGTCTTAGCCTCCCAAGTAGCTGGGACTACAGGCACACGCCACCATTCCTGGCCAATTTTTGTATTTTAGTAGAGATGGGGTTTCACCATGTTGGTCAGGCTGGTCTCAAACTCCTGACCTCAGGTGATCCACCCGCCTTGGCGTCCCAAAGTGCTGGGATTATAGACATGAGCCACCGCGCCTGGCCTGTTTTGTTTTTTCTAAGACAGGGTCTCTACTGCCTAGGCTGGAGTCTGCTGGCACTTCCAACCTAGATCTCTTAGGCTCACATGGTCCTCTTTTTTGAGACAGAGTCTCCATCTGTGACCCAGGCTGACATGCAGTTGTAGGAACTCCAGTCACTGGATCCTCTGCCTCCTGGGTTCAAGCCATTCTCCTGCCTTAGCTTCCCAAGTAGCTGAGATAACAGAGATGAGCCACCTTGCCTGGCTAATTTTTGTACTTTTATTATTGATTGATGTATTCATTTTTGAGACAGAGGCTCGCCCTGTCCGCCAGGCTGGAGGGCAGTGGCACAATCCCAGGTTCAAGTGACTCTCCTGCCTCAGCCTTTCAAGTAGCTGAGGTTGCAAGTGCATGCCACCATGCCCCGCTAATTTTTGTGTCCTTTTCAGTAGAGATAGGGTTTCAATATGTTGGCCAAGTTGGTCTCCAACTCCTGACCTTCAGTGAGCACATGGACAGGAAAGAAGAGATCAAGGCCTGTTCTTTGTTTCCATCTTTGGCTTTTTGAGAGTCTCACTCTGTCGCCTGGGATGAAGTGCAGTAGTGTAACCTCACCTCACTGCAACCTCTGCCTCCTGGGTTCAAGCAGTTCTTTTTGTTCTGTTTTTGGAGCCAGCGTCTTGCTGTGTCTGCCAGGCTGGACTGCAGTGGTGTGATCTGAGCTCACTGCAATCTCAGCTTCCCAAGTAGTTGGGATTGCATGCACGTACCCACCTGTCAGATTTAAAAAAATATATTTTTAGACACAGTTTCACCATGTTGGCCAGACTGTTCTTAGGTGATTTGCCTACCTAGGCCTCCCAAAATGGTGGGATTATAGGCATGAACCACTACACTCAGCCTTTTTTTCTAATGTCGAACATGGCACCCATCGTGAATTTGGGTGTCACCTCTGTGCAAAGGCCTTGGTAATCTCTGTCATTCCATTCACGTTTTTATGTGTGTTGCCAAAGCAAGCAGTTACATGTAGGAAGTGTTCTTCATGTGAGCTTATAGTATATCCTCAAAAAAAAAGAAAAAACTTTTTTTTTTTGGTCAGGATCTCAAAAGTACACGATGTGTATTTCATTATACAATCTTATATAATTATAGACACACAAAATAGTCTTCTACACACAGAGAATATTCTTACATCACTTTGAGGTTGTGTGTGTTTGTGTAAGTCTTTTTAACTTTTTTGAGACACAGCGTGGTTATATTGCCAAGGCCAGTGTGCAGTGGTGCCATCTCTGATCACTGTCACCTCCACCTGCCACCTCAGCCTCCTGGATTAGTGTCCGTAAGTGAACACCACCACACTTGGCTACGTTTTGTATTTTTTGTACAGATGATGTTTCACTATGTTGCCCAGGCTTGTCTCAAACTGCTGAGCTCAAGTGGTCCTCCTGCCTCAGCTTCCTAAAGTGCTGGGATTAGAGATGCGAGCCACCGCAACACACCCATACTTGTGTATTTTTGTTCAAATTGTACTGAGGAGCTCTTACAGCATAGTCTGTAGTCTGTCCTGGAGGATGTCTGCGTGTGCGACAGTGTATTTTCTTCAACATTTTAGATTCCATTTTGGATGCTCTCATCGGGACTGTGTGTCCCTGAGCTGGAACTCAAGTGAAACTTGGCTCAACATCCGTTGCTCTTCTCTAGAAATCCAGCCTAATTCTCTTGGTTAAAGATAAGGTATGTCTAGTATGCATTGTTCTTTCTCTTTGGAGACAAAACTCAGGAGGATTGCCCCTTCATGAACAAGGGGTCACCAGCTGAGCCTTGTAAGCAAGGAAGTGGAGATGGTCCTTTCAGGGGATTATGATCTGGATTCCAGAAAACATGCAAACAGGGCCACTAAATGCATCTTTATTTTTGTGTCCATTTTAACCTTGTTGCACAAATTCCAACAAAAAACCCATTGTGCTGGAGCAAGAATATCTCATGCTGTGACCCTCCCGAGAGAAGCACTTTCTGTTTGAAAGAAAAGAAGTCGCTTCCCTCAGGGGGGTTACTGTTTGAGAAAAGCAACGTTCAAATTGATGCTGATCTTGGTAAGACATTTGCAGGGCATGCTTATAATCAGACCTAGATGGTGTTGGGGTTCTGTTTTTGTTTTGTTTTTTTCTAAGACAGGGTCTCTCTTGCCCAGCGTGGAGTGTGATGGCACTTCCAACCTAGATCTCGGGCTCAAGTGGTCCTCTTTTAATTTTATTTTTTATTTTTTGAGACGGAGTCTCACTCTATCACCCAGGCTGGAGTGCAGTTACAGGATCTCCACGCACCACAACTCCTGCCTCCCAGGTTCAGCAATTCTCCCACCTCAGCCTCCCAAATAGCTGGGATTATAAGCACCCACCACCACACCCTGTTAATTTTTGTATTTTTGGCAGACAAATGGTTTCACCATGTTGGCCAGGCTGGTGTCAATTCCTGACCTCAAGTGATCCTCCTCCCTGGCCTCCCAAAGTGGTGGGATTACAGGTGTGAGCCACCGTGCCTATCCTCTTCAACATTTGAGTTTTCATTTTGGATGCTCCCATTGCAGTGTGTCCCTGTACTGGAACTCAAGTGAACACTTGGCTCAACATCCATTGCTGTTCTCCAGAAATCCAGCCCAATTTCTTGGTTAAATATAAGGTATGTTTAGTAGGCATTGCTTCATCTCTTTGACAAAACTCAAGATGCTTGCCCCTTGATGAACAAGGCTAACCTGCTGAGCCTTTGAAACAAGGAACTGGAGATGGTCCTTTTAAAAGGGCTTATGTCTGGGTTTCCAGAAAACATGCAAACAGGGCCAATATGTGCATCTTTATTATTGTGTCCATTTTAATCTGGTCAAGGAAAATTTCCACAGAAAACCCAGAATGCTGGAGCAAGATCTCATGCTGTGACCCTCCAAAGGAAAGCACTTTCTGTTGTCTATAAGAAATGAATGAGTTTTCCTTTAGAGTGTTACCGTTTGAGAAAAGCAACGATGAAGTTGATGCTGAATTTGGTAATACCTTTGCAGAACATGCTTATCATCTGGCTTGGATGATGGTGGGGTTCTTTTTTTTTTTTTTTTTTTTTTAAAGATAGGGTCTCTGTTGCTCAGGTCGGAGTGTGGTGACACTCCTAATGTAGGTCTCTTGTGCTCAAATGGTCCTCTTTTTTGGGACAGAGTGTTGCCCTGTGAGCCAGGCTGCAGTGCAGTGGCTCAACCTCAGCTCACTGCAACCCCCGCCTCCCAGTTTCAAGGGATTCTCCTGCCTCAGATTTCTGAGTAGCTAGGAATACAGGTGACTAACACCACGCCTGGCTAATATTTGCATTTTTCTTTCTTATTTATTTACTTTTGATACGAAGTCTTGTTGTCACCCATCCTGGAGTGCAGTGGCAGGATCTTGGCTAACTGCAACCTTTGCCTCTTGGGTTCCAGCAGTTCTTCTGCCTCAGCCTCCCAAGTAGCTGGAATTACAAGTGTCCACCAACACACCTGGCTACGTTTGTTTAAGGGGAGGATGGGTTTCACCCTGTAGTTTAGGCTGGTCTCTAGCCCCTGAGCTCTTAAGTGAGTTGCCCGCCTTGGCCTCCCAAAGTGCTGAAAATGGAGGTGCGAGCCACTTCGGCGAGCCACGAACACCTTTTACATGCTAGAAATTATTCTGGCACTGGTTTCTACATAGAACCTCACCTGGGGTCAGGTGGAATTGAAGGGGACACTAGTGTCCCTTGATAATGGGATGTGCACTGCTTACCAGGAGCACAGAGGTGAAGTGCATGGGATTTGAATTTTCATTGGGTAAATGAAGCTGAAATTATGCGTGCATGATCAGCTTACATATGCAACAAGATGTGTGTTTGCGGCAGTGTACATTCTTCAACATCTTAGATTCCATTTTGGATGCTCCCATCTGGACTGTGTGTCCCTGTACTGGAACTTGAGTGAACACTTGGCTGAAAATCCATTGCTGTTCTCTAGAAATCCAGACTAATTCTCTTGGCCAAAGATAAGGTATGTCTAGTAGGCATTGCTTTTTCTTTCTGGAGTCAAAACTCAGGAGGATTGCTCCTTGGTGAGCAAGGGTAACCTGCTGAGCCTTGGAAGTGAGAAACTGGAGATGGTCCTTTTAGGGGTTTATGTTCTGTATTCCAGGAAACATGCAAACAGGGCCAGTAAATGCATCTTTATTTTTGTGTCTGTTTTAACCTGGTCAAGGGAAATTCCAGCAAAAACCCCAGAGTGCTGGAGCAAGAAGATCCCAGGCTGTGACGCCCTGGAGGGGCGTGCTTTCCGTTGTTTGTAAACAAACAAAGCACATCCCTCTAGAGTGTCACCGTTTGACAAGAGCAATGTTGAAGTTGATGCTGACCTTGGTAACACAGTTTCAGAACATGCTTATAGTCAGACGTGGATGATGTTGGCGTTTTGTGTTTGTTCTGTTTTTTTTTTTTTT